GACAAGAGCATTATTCCACTCCAATTCTTCCAGAGGCGTAAGTTACCCTTCTTCGGTAGCTTGACAAGGTAGCCAGCCTTTCTTCCAGTCAGTAGGCACCTTTCCTTCTTTCCATACCTTTTTCAGTAATGGCGTGAGCATACCTGCGGCAGTCTCTGGGTCCGTTTTCAGTGTTGTGGCGTGGAGGAATTCCTTCTGGTCCAGCTGCCTTCTCGACTGAACTTCAGTAGCTTGATCGCATTCAGTATTTCTGTTTCCGTTAAGGTATTGGTGTCCACTGGCATGCAGCTCTGTGCATGCTGTTGGTGGTGGTTGTATTTTTGGGTGAGTTGCTGGTGGTGGTCAATTCAATAATCCTTTAAAGTGATCAGCCCATTGTTTTATTTGTTTCTCCTCCTTGTTAATCAAGTTCCCTTGAGCATCTTTTATTGGTTTCATTATTTGGGTTGATCTCTTCCCTGATAGTGAGTGACCTGGCTATCTGAAATGACGTTTTCAGGTTTCTTGCACCTGCCTGTCTGTTCTGCTTCAGTTACCGGTGTGTCTGTAGTGAAGGCATCCCTTGTAGTTTTGTCCTTCAGTTCCTTAATGTGGAACTTGAATCACGGCCTGTCTGGAGTTGTCCTGAAGGCTTTCAGCTTCACCTTGAAGGTTCTAAGAACTAGATGATGGTCTGAGCCCACATCTGACCCTATTCTCGACTGCATCTCCACTTCCTTGAGCCCCATTGGGATGAAATCTATTTCGTTTGTGGTATGTACGTCAGGCGAACTCCCTGTTGCTTTGTGTATCTCCTTGTGCTTGCACACTCTGTCTCCAATCACCAAATCATTAGCAGCGCAGAAGTCTACGAACAGATCCCCGTTCTTATTTATTTCTTTGAGACCCTCTCGACTCATGATGAGTTCTCTTCGTATATTTTCAGGTCTCAGGTCGTCTGGCGTTCATATCGCCCATTAGGATTTTGATGTCACCATTTGGGATGTTGTCCATTACTGTTTGTAGTTGCATGTAAAACCCTTCCTTCCTTTGTTGTTCCGCGTTGTTTATAGGTGCGTAGCATTGAATAATTGTAACCTTCGTTCCTTTTGAATTGAATCTTGCTGTCATGATCCTGGATGAAATTGGTTCTCACTGCGTTAGAGCTTTGGCTGCGGCTGGTGACATCATGATAGCCACTCACTGCCTCAGTGTGTTCGTGCTTGTCGTCTGGGTGGCTGGAGTAGGTTATTGACTCTCCCGTCGACAATTTGGATAATCCACATCCGTTCTATCTGCTTTCGCAGATAGATACCCAGCACTTGTATATCATATATTCGCATTTCGTTGGTTACTTGGGCGGCTTCCGAGTCTCGTACATTGTACAGACATTCCACGTCCCCATTCTTATTCTTGCCTTCATTGAGAGAAGACACATTGGCTGGTTGGCTGGCTTCCCGAAAGCCTACACCAGTCCGCTGTGCCATTTCGCCTCTTTGATTCCAGCGAAGAATAAGATCGTTCTTTGAATTTTTGTGTTTTTAATATATTTTTTGTGTGTTGAAGTTTCTCTAACAGTTTGGTAGGTTTAGTGGTGTAGGGTTGCTATCCGTACGCCCAACCCTCCGTCTTTACCCAGGCTTGGGACCGGCTAGAAAACTAGGAAGCTAGTTAACTAGGTGACGTTCAGCTAGAAACATGATAACAGATAATGATGGTATGGAGAACGAGATCCCCACAATAAAACAAATTTTGATTGGAAAAGGTTATCCTAAAAAGCTGCTAAATAAATTATCAACAAAAATGGCTAGAAGGGAAAACAGAACATTGAAAAATGTTGGCTGTCGATGATAGCCATTCCATATCAATAAGATACAGCTGAACAACTTCAAAGAGTACCTGCTTCATATAATATTAAGGTCTATTCCAAACCCTATAATTCTCTAGAGGAAGTATCGGTGAATGTCAGAGATATGGTTTCCATACTGACACAAAACAACTCTCTTTGTAGGATAAGGCGTTCAGAATGTGAATGCAGTGGTTGAATGCTATTTGGAACGTGGCAACTCGAACTGCTGCACTTCGGTGCCAAGTTCTATGTTGAATCCAGACAGACAGACAGAGCTAAGGATATGTGGGAACATTTGTGCTGGGACGTCGCTACCTGTCTAGAACTGCTCGTATTTGTTGTCATCATCATGAAAGTGATTATGAGGTATACTGGCATGTGTTTGGACATAATGTAGGTTGTATATCAGTGGGTGGTGTCATCTTGGAATGCCGGCTTCGGTAGCTTATACATTTGTTGCTAGTACCATGTCAGCGACTCCCATATCGCTGTGTTTCCTAGTTCACCGACCTGGTTGCAAAACGCAGAGGCGTTTTCAGCCTATAGTGTGGAAGAGCAAGATGAAGGAGAATTGTGTTAGCTTTACATCTGTTAGATATGATAGAGAAGATTTGTAGCTCAGGTGGATGATTTTGATGTGGTTTTGTTCTCTGAGCTGGATGGTTAGTTTGCGAAGCTTTCATCACCTTACTGGGTGACATCTTCAGCGCATACATCTGTTAATTCATCACGATGCCCTGGGTAGTAGCATCTAAAAGGTAGTTCGAATCAGGGACTTGAGACATCAACTCCCTTCTTTCTGAAACTAACGCGAAATGATTAAATGCTCATTAAATGATGTGATAAGCATCCTCACCTGTTTTCATGATGCTGCTCATCAGCCATTTTATTTTTGAATATATAACCTTATTGTTTTCTAGTGCCTAGAGAATAATCTCATTGACTTAGAATATGCAGATGATATAGTCCTTCTAGGTGAAGACGCTAACATAATGCAAAGTCTTCTGAACACCTTGAGCTGCAATCTGCGAATGCTTGACCTGCGACTCCTCCGCTCGTGTCAAATGTAAGATGATGCTACAGGACTAGACTGGACTGGACTGCATCGACTCCCGGCTTGAAAAGATAGCTAGGAGTGAATCGGTAGAGCGTGTTGACCACATGACTTATTTTGGAATTTGTGTCAGCCCGATCAGCGGGTTGATTTCTGACGAAATATGAGCACGGATGCAGAAGGCTGGTTTTGGGATATGCAAGTTTACACCATCTCTGGCTTAGTGGACGTGATATCCGGCTGGATGTGGACACGAGGGAATGTATACTGCTCATCAGTTCTCTCCATCCTTCTTTATCACGGTGAGTGAGACATAGTCATTGAAAGCGGATGACACGAAAAGCCTGGCTAGCTGTGTTGTATCTGCTATGTTATGTTGTGGCATAATAAGGTGATTAATATTGAGGTTAGGCACGGGTGGAGTGTTAGATAAAGTGGGTAAGTTAATTGACGTGGTTTCGAAGCTACACTGATTGGACATACGATGAATATCGCGCATTCCAAACCATCCTCTTCATGGCGACATGTTAGCTGATATAGGATTAGGTTGGAAAAGATTTGGGAGTGATCATCAGTTCATATTCTGTCTGTCTGTCTGTCTGTCTGTTTGTGGCATAGAACTTTGCACATATGTGCGGCAGTTCAAGTCGTCACACTCCACTCATTGTACCACACAAAGCAAGAGAAGAAAGTAGAAGAAATGCATACTACAGACAGTAAACAGAGATGTGAGACAAAGGAATAGTAATAACGAAGAACAATATAGTTTCATTGGAAATCATAAGTCACAAGGAGTGGATGCATCTGCGTTAGCCATTGAAAACGATTTCGAGCCTTATCAGCAATTGTTTCAAACCATTGGTTTTTACTGTCCCGAGGACCCCAACCAGCCAAGAGGTCTACACCTTCCTACATGGCTGGCTTAAACTAACTGTTGTGGATTTCATTGACTGGTGGCATGTTTTGGTTTGACCTCCGCTAGCTCTTTTCCAACCTGACTGACCCTATGTCAGCTAACATTGCCCGTTGTCGAGGATGGCGATGACTAGGCATCCACAACACATGTCCTAACCATCTCAGTCGATGTACTTTCACAGCCTCGTCAATTGATTTCCCCTCCTTACCCATCACCCGACCGACGCCTAACCTCAATATTGCTCACCTTATTATGCCACTTCACACGGGCGATAGAACGCAGGCACCTATTATCAAAGACAGCTATCCATGCTTTTCATGTCTTCCACTCTCAATGGCCATGTCTCACTCACATCCATAAAGGAGGACGGAGCGGACTGATGAGCAGTACACCCGCCCTTTGGTCGATAGCCAGTGGGATATCACGTCTACTAAACCAGAGACGGCGTAGACTGGTATATGCGTAACTAGCCCTCTGTATCCGTACTGAGATTTCGTCAGAGATGAACCCGTTAGCACTGGTTGATGGTACTTCCCAAACAAGTGAAACGGTCAACGTGCTACACCAACCACTTCACTGCTTATTTCTAAACTAGGAGTCAGTGTAGTGCAGTCCAGTTCTGTAACATCATCTTACATTTGGCGGGAGCGAATCGCATGCCAAACATCAGTTCATAAAGTCTTTAACAGTTAATTTAATTCACATAGAGAGGTGTAGATTGTATTAGTTGAGGTTCTCGAGAGGCTAGGAATCAATAGCCAATAGAGGTTATTGGTGATATGGATCGAAACTGTTCTCAGTGAGGCAGATGCATTCACTCATTTTGCTCACCCAACTGCTTTAATTCCGCATGTTGTCTTCATATAATTATTCTTCCTCTCGAGCAGTTTTGCTCATTTAGGTTTCGCTTGAATCTCCTTTTCTCTACCTCTACGTGTTACATGAAGTGTAATAACTTGAACTGGTGCTTTTTTATACAGAGTTCTATGTTGATTCTCAATGAATCGGACAGTGTAATTTGTGATCTGCTTGACCTTCTCTCACATAGTAACTAACGTGTTTCTTATACACCTGTTTGGTCAAGGTACCAAAAATATATAATTGTATTTGTTATTATTTTTTTCTTGTTGTGTCTTGTTTTGTTGACTTTTCAATATTTTCTGTGGTTACTCTTTTTTTTCTTGTTTTTTGTATATTTTCAGGTTACATTTACAAAGCGTAAATTAGGTCTAATGAAAAAAGCCTATGAATTAAGTATACTGTGTGATTGTGAAATAGCTTTAATAGTATTTACAAGTTCACAGAAATTATTCCAATATGCTAGTTCAGATATGGATAAAATTTTATTACGGTATACTGAATTCAATGAACCGCATGAATCGAAGACAAACAGAGATATAGCTGAGGTATGTATCTTTTCACAGGAATAAACTTGTTTTTTTATATATATTTTTACGTATTTCATTTTTTTAAAATCGTATTTATAATGTGTATCTCTATGAGGTGATCATGATTTCCTGTGTGTGTGTGTGGGGGGGGGTACTAGTTTACTGCTTGCTGGTGACAACAATTCTGTTTGATTTTGAAACAAGCGAAAACAACGCTTTGTGTAGTATGAGATGATACCCTCTGACTTTTCATAATCTGCGTTATAATGTTAATGAAGTTGGTTTGAGGTGCTCTTTATGACGCGCCAAATCTCTGATCCGTATGGTGAGTAGCACTGACTTCACATTGGAGTTGAAAATCCGGATGTTATTTTTGATGCTTAGTGCTTTTGACCTCCACACAGACTTGAGAGTAATGAAAGCTTGTCTTGCTTTTCCGATTCTGGCTTTGATATCCTCGTCAGTTCCGCCTGTAGTTGAAACGCTGCTTCACGGTTAGGTAAGGTGGTTTGTTTCTTACAGGTTCCTCCCATTTATGCTGGCTGATCGTTGCCTGTTGTTGTGGTTCTTGCTGTTGGTGTTGGCTAGGAATCTTCATCACCTCTGTTTGATCTATCTTCACTTGAAATCCTATCTTTGATGCTTCTTCTGCCAGCTTGTTGCTTTTCACTTGCATATCTTCCAGTTTGTGGGAAATCAGACATATATCATTATCGGCGAAGTCCATATCCTCCAAGTGTTTTGTGTGAGTCCATTTTATGCCTGTTTCCTAGTCGCGCTGCCCGTTGTCTGTCGCATTATCCAATCTACTGCAATCAGGACGATCATTAGTGATAGTAGGCAGCCTTGTCTCACTCCCGTCCTCATTTCGAAGGATTCTGTAAGTTTCCTGTTGTGGATTACTTGACATGCCGCATTGTCGTACAACTATTGGATGAGATGCATAATTGTCGGCAGCACCCCTTGGTAGTAGCGAAGTAGTTGCCAAATCACCTCTCGATCGATTAAACAAAGCTATATCAAAAAATTAAGTTTGGATACTGTCGAAAAAGAGTTATGGAATAAAAAAAGAGGGTGGATAAGATTTATAAGTAACTAGTAAGTTACATCATAATAGTGTGATGAGTTCAATTCAAATCATAGAGACAAAAGGTAGACGAAAGGAGTAGAGGTTAAGGTCAAAGGTTATTATGTAATCAGATAAAAAGGAAGAGTGAAGACATCCATTTGTGAAGATAAGAAAAGACCGATAACTGCTTCTTTCTAAACACATAAACCGGATCTTAAACAGTGCGCAAGTTATCGTTGCTTTAGTGGACTTTATCAGAATTAAATTATTAATTTGTTTATTGATAATTTTAAAGGATTTAGTTGTGTCTGTTTCATGACCCCCATGTCAATAAGATGTTTGGCAATATCACTATTGAAGGGAACAAACGCCTCAAATAATACTTTTACTTTTGTGACCCTCTGTGTACAAGTTGTGTAAGTATAACGTCTGAGTCTCCTGTTAACTGGCATCGTGTCACATTTCAAAGTTTGTCAAAATTCCTCTTTAAGTTTAATCATTTTTTCAGGTTGTATGCACTTCAAGAGAAACTGAAAAAGAAAAAAAATAAACGATGATACCAACTTGTCCTGTACAAACTATTAATTTTGCTGTAGTAAATTTCACAAAGGGAAATAATTGTGTAAAGCTTCTAGTTCCACAGTGAATCAGTATCATGTACTGGATGATGAAAAGGTTTCAAGCACAATTTATTGCGGTTCATAATCATTTCATCAATTATAATCACACAACTTCGAACCATTCGTATTGTAATTCTCTTTATGCCTTCCTGTTACACGTGTTTCCAGTTGATTCGATAAATAAATCTTCCGTTATCAATCTCTCCCTCCACCCACCCTGTTATATTAGATTTTAAGACTGTCATCTTATCCCATCCTAGTATGTATGGTTGTGTGTAATTGCATGTGGTGAGCGGTATAGCTGAACTATTCTCCAGATTTCTTATCTTTTATTCAGGTCAAGTAATCTACATTTCTCTAGGTTTTTGTGCTCGGTTAGTCTGACTGACCCTGTCGTATTACTTTGACCTATGTATTTGACCTGAAAATCATTGCAGACAGTGTGTTAGATAAACTAAATTGTTTTGTTTTAAAGGCTCCACAGGATTGATCCTTTAACTGACAAAGCTTATTTCTAATTGACTGTGTTTGAGTACTCTTTGACTTTTTGAATGCTGCTGATTAGGCATTGCTAGAGGATTGTATTATGAGGTCGTATTTCTTGTTGGTAACTGTCTCCATTAGTTTTTGATTTAACTGCTCGATTTCACTTCTGATACGATGCTGTCTGTCTGTCTGTTTTCGACATAGAACTTTGCACAAATGTGCGGTAGTTCAAGTCGCCGCACTCCGTGTAGCACGCGAAGAAAGAGAAGAAAGTACAAGAAAAGCATAATAGAAACAGTGAGCAGAGGTGTGAGACAAAGGAGTAATAAAGAAATACAAAACAGTTTCATTGAAGATCATAAGTCACAGGGAGTGGATGCATCTGCGCCACTGAGAACGGTTTTGAGCCATGTCACCAATTGTTTCCAACCATAGATTTTTACCGTCCCGAGGACCCCAGCCTGGAAGTCTACACCTTCCTACGTGGCTTAGACCAACTGTTGTGGATTTCATTGACTGGTGCCAAGTTTTTGTTTGACCGCCGCTAGCTTTTTTCCAGCCTGACCCTATATCCGAGGCGATGGCTTGGCATACGTAACACATGTCCTAACCATCTCAGTCTTTGTAACTTCACGACTTCTTTGATTGATTTCCCCTGTTTACCTAGAACTCTACGCCTAACCTCAATGTTGCTCACCTTATTATGCCACTTTACACGGGAAATAGAGCGCAGGCACCTATGATCAAAGACAGCTAGTCTTTTCATGTCTTCCACTCTCAGTGGCCAGGTCTCACAACCATAAAGGAGGACGGAGCGGACTGATGAGCAGTACACCCGCCCTTTGGTCGATAGTCGAACATCTCGTCTACGCCAGAGTCGGCGTAAACTAACAAATGCGAAACGAGCCCCTTGTATTCGTGCTGAGATTTCGTCAGAGATCAGCCCGTTGGGGCTGATGGTACTTCCCAAATAAGTGAAGCGGTCAACGTGCTCTACCACTTCACTTCCTATTTTTAAACTAGGCGTCTGATACGATGCAGCTCTTTACGAAATCTGTGGATCTCTTCTTTTGAGCAAAAGTTTTGTAGACTTTCTATTCTGGTTCTAACTTTGTCTGTCGGGGCTGTAGCTTGTAGACGTAGGTATTTAGGATTGAATTCACTTGTCAGGCGTCGAATGCTGAAAATACTATCGTTCCTAAATACCTATATCTGCCTGTGGAATGATTAATTAGTGAAAGACGTTGTTCATTGGCTAGAACAGTCGACTTTCAGCCAGTGGATGTTGACTTTTCGAATCCAACCCTTCGTACTTCAGTTGGGGCAACTGCGTAGTGTCATTAACCCTCACATATAAAAAGTGTATGGCTTATGTAGTCTAGAGCATTAGAAAATCTGTTCCATGGACTCAGTCCGAGCAAATTTTGTACTAAGATAAATGACACCAATTACTTCTGATCGACTGATATGAGTAGTTTGATACTAGTCACACCAACCAGATCGAAGTGATCGAAACGCTGGACGGCCGTTTCAGTCGTTCGGTGCTCAGTCAGAACCCATCCGATTTATGACTAGCTACTTGAGCGCATTAATTCACAAACTGAGTTTAATGCTAGTACTTGTAAGGGACCCATTCTAGCCGACATTTTTCGTGAGAAACTAGAAAACGGGCCTTTGAAGGATGTTATTAATGAACTCGAATTCTATTGTCGGTACATGGATGATACATGTTTCATGATGAAAAGTGAGAAGGAAGCGAAGAACATCCTGGATAAATTTAACGAGGTTCATCCTGCAAGAAATTTTAATATTGAGAAAGAAAAAGGCTCTAGTATTTCATTTCTAGACGTCTTTATGACTAGAAAAGAGGATGGCGCAATAAGAAGAAGTGTATATATAGAAAACCTACATCAACTAACTAGACAGTGTACTCATTTCTTCGGCTTTGCAACCCTTGAAATACAAACCCAATCTGATAAAGTGCTTGGTTCACAAAGCAAGAGCAATCTCCTCGGATGAATGTCTTGATGATGAACTTAATAATATCAAATGGTTGCCGAGTGAAAACGGTTATCTACAGAAGTTTATTGACAAGAACATGAATCTAAAATCACAGCAGCTCAAGGTACCGACAGTTCCCATAAAGGCCTTATTCTTACAAATGCAGTTCCTCGGGGGATTAACACAACGTCTTATAAATGTTGTAAAAAGATAATTCCCTGCTGCTGAATTACTATATGTGTTCGAAACCACTCCTCTTTTGTGTTCGGGAGTGAAAGACAAATTGCCTAACTTCGCATCTTCCATGTGTATCTACCAATTTAACTGCTTCTGTGGAGTGAGCCATTTACATACGGCGTACAATTAGGCGTGTTTCTCGTCGAATTTCCGAACATCACCCTGCATGGTTCAGTAAAGGACAAACAAAATCTATTCGTAACGCTATCGTATCTCATCTTGTAGATACAGAGCACAAGATTTATGTTAACCAGGCTTTCAAAGTCATTTACCGCATACCAACAAATCTTAATTTCTCCTTAAGAGTTCGGTTACTGAATATTGCTGAGGCTGTGGGGATTCATATTAACAAGCCTAATTTGTGCGTCCAAAAGAAGTTAGTTCAGACGTTATCCTTACCTTGGCCATCTAGGTTTAAATGATCCTCAACTCATTTGGAATTTTCCTAATTTTAGTTGATATTCTATTCGCTATTATATCTTTATTACTATTAGAATTTAAGCATCTTTAATGGACTGTAATTCCATTGATTTTACACGATTTCATCATGAGCTGACATTGATTAGAGAACCATTGGAAAACTTGATCTTTTTTAACGAATCAGT